AGGCCAGCCTCCCCGGGACAGCAGGTGGCCAATGTTCAAACCCCTCCTGTGTCCAATTCAGCAGGGCCTTGAACTCCTAAAAATAGATGCGCGTGGTGCAGAAGTCAAGCCCAAAACACGAGGCCTGAGTCGCACAGCAGATGGAGGAGAGGGGTCCCGGAGGTGAGGCTTGCAGCCGGTCCCCAGGCCCACCTGCCTCAAGCACAAGCACCCCCTGACTTTTTGTCGGAGAGCTGCCCGAGGAGCATGCCCCTGGCTTGGGCCCATTGATGCCGAGCTCCTCCCCGAGCGGGTAAATCGCTGAGAAACAGGGCACGGTGCCCACTTTATGAGCATTGCTCGAACGCAGGCGGTGGAGCACAGAAGCGAGCGCAGCCGTGCTGGAGACCTCCATCACCCCAGCGCGGAGGAAGGAGAAAAGCTGGGGCCTGTACTCTGGTTTGCTCCATCACTTGGACCTGGCGGGGCTCTGCACTTTGCAAAGAGATGGGCCAAAAAGAAAAGAGAAGGTCAGGCCTATTTTAAATGCATGCATGAAGCACATTATTGGCAGAGGCGAGACAGCCTAATTTGCTCTCTCCTGCCCTGCCTCAGCCCACGCGCCGTTCCCTGTCCAGCCCCTCAGAGCTCTTTGCAGCCCAGGCTTAGAGGAAGTCTCCGTCCCTCTCACTCCTGGATAAGAAAGGGGGAACAAGAGCTAATCAGCCGCTGATGAGGCCAGCCGGCAGCGTGTGGGTGGCCGCTGGCGTTGGTGACGAGGGATGGCATTGCTCCATTGACTACAGCAGGGGTTACGCCAGCGGGGAGGTTGACTCAAACGCTCCAGGCAGGGGGGTGGGAGACTTCGGGGGACGCCGCAAAAGGAAAGGAAGGGCACAGATCAGGACAGCAGCTTCCCTCCTCTCAGCAGGGTTGCGCTTCGGCTCTGCAGCCAGGTCGCCGCTGGTGATGGTTGTCTAGCAGGGCCGCAGCCGTGCCCATGGCTCTGCTGAGCAAAGAGAGACGGTGCCTGCCTCAAGGGACCAACAGCCTCAAGGAGCGGGCGATTCCCCTCATTGTGTGCAGGGAAACTGAGGCACAAGGAAAGCGAACGTGAGAGCTGGGACTCCAACTAGAAACCCAAACCCGGCCATTGCTTTAGCCACCAGCCCAGTAGCATAGCAAGGGGGGTCACCCAACCTGGCATCACCAGGTCCGAGGGGACACAAGCGTACCCCTTCAGGGCACAGAAGACCACCCTGGCCTCTCAAAGGGTCACCCCAGCCCCAGCTTCATGCAGGGAGGGTCCACCTACATGCTACAGAAGTCGTGAGATCCCCTCGCTCATTGGCAAGTGCTGCAAGGGGCCACACCTAGCTCTCCCCCAAGCTATTCCCAGCACCATTTGAGAGGCGTTTGCAAGCCCAGGCACCTGCCCCAGCTAGTCAGGGGAGCGCGAGAGGCCTTGGAAAGCATCTGCACTCTTGCTCCTTCGTGGGCTGCTCTATAAAGAGCAATGGCATCAGCAGAAATCTGTTTCTCTCCTTCCCCCCCATCTGGAGCAGCCCACAGCTGACATGTGGGAGAAACAGCTTCCATCGCAGGCTCTGCCTGGCGCTACCGCCAGCCTCCGGGCGCCATCCCAGCCATCCCTCCGGCAGCCATAGACCTACCATCTACGTGACATCCCCACGGTGTCGGCAGCCTCACAGCAGGACGGCTGCACACGTAACGACAGCGTTTCAACCGCTCCGTTTTTTCCCCTTTGTCAACCCAGCACGCACCGCATAATCCGAGATGCTCGTGGGGGGCGGGAGGGGTTCAGGGAAGCTCCTTGCACGTGACTTCTCAATCCATTTCCCAGGTAGGTGCCTCCACGTGACTATCATCTAGAGTTAACATCCCAGCTAGTGTCAGACACCCCCGGTTTGGGTGGGCTGTGGGCGTGCTGTATCTTCAAGAAGAGATTGATGTCATATATCTTGACTTCAAAAAAGCCTTCGATCTGGTGTCCCATGATCGCCTCTTGGAGAAACTGGCCAATTGTCGCCTTGGGTCCTCCACGATCCGCTGGCTGGAAAATTGGCTCCGGGGTCGGACCCAGAGGGTAGTAATCGATGGAAGTCACTCATCGTGGTGCCCTGTGACCAGTGGGGTCCCCCAAGGCTCTGTCCTTGGACCCATACTGTTCAACATCTTCATTAATGATGTGGACACTGGAGTCAGAAGCGGACTGGCCAAGTTCGCCGATGACACCAAACTTTGGGGCAAAGCATCCACACCAGAGGACAGGCAGGTGATCCAGGCTGACCTGGACAGGCTCAGCAAGTGGGCGGACGAGAATCTGATGGTGTTCAACGCCGATAAATGCAAGGTTCTCCACCTTGGGAAAAAAAACCCGCAGCATCCTTATAGGCTCAGCAGTGCTATGTTGGCTAGCACTATGGAAGAAAGAGACTTGGGGGGCATCGTTGACCACAAGATGAACATGAGCCTGCAATGCGATGCGGCGGCTAGTAAAGCGACCAAAACGCTGGCTTTCATCCATAGATGCTTCTCAAGCAAATCCCGGGACGTCATTCTCCCCCTGTACTCGGCCTTAGTGAGGCCGCAGCTGGAGTACTGTGTCCAGTTTTGGGCTCCACAATTCAAAAAGGATGTGGAGAAGCTTGAGAGAGTCCAGAGAAGAGCCACGTGCATGATCAGAGGTCAGGGAAGCAGACCCTACGATGACAGGCTGAGAGCCCTGGGGCTCTTTAGCCTGGAAAAGCGCAGGCTCAGGGGTGATCTGATGGCCAGCTACAAGTTTATCAGGGGTGACCACCAGCATCTGGGGGAACGTTTGTTCACCAGAGCGCCCCAAGGGATGACGAGGTCGAATGGTCACAAACTACTTCAAGACCGTTTCAGGCTGGACATAAGGAAGAACTTCTTTACTGTCCGAGCCCCCAAGGTCTGGAACAGCCTGCCACCGGAGGTGGTTCAAGCGCCTTCATTGAACACCTTCAAGAGCAAACTGGATGCTTATCTTGCTGGGATCCTATGACCCCAGCTGACTTCCTGCCCTTTGGGCAGGGGGCTGGACTCGATGATCTTCCGAGGTCCCTTCCAGCCCTGATGTCTATGAAATCTATGAAAATCTCCTCGAGGCCTCGTTGTTGCAGAAAGCATGGCCACAGGCTCCATTTGCGACAACAGCTCAGCCGGGCTGATCACCTGCAAAGCACCAGCTTGCAGAGCCCACAGCTTGCAAGGTGCCAGCCAGGATAGGCATGGTAAGGTATAGGCAGGATTCATGAGTGGGGAAGACAGAGGGCAGAGGATGATTGGATAGGCATGACCCTGCCTCAGGCAGAGGGCTGGACTAGCTGCCTCCCCGGAAACACTCCCTTCCACGGCCTGAGTGGAGCCCCAGGGCACCTGTATATGCCACAGCATTTAATCCTAATCAATTTAAAGAGGATTATAACATTTAAACTTGTTTATTTTGGTGCATCGCATCTGTGTTTGCACGCACGGGGCTTTCGAATGATTTAAGCCTGTAAATTCCAGCGGGGGGAGCCAGATACCAGTCTACCCCAGTGCTGTTTTTCCTCCTGAATTACAGCAGGAGGCGCATGTTCACCAGTAAACCAGTAAGTAATACCCCAGTAACCCCCTCTCTCCACAGTCCCCCCCTCCCTCTCAGCAGCCCAAGCTGCACAGTCAATGTGTGTAAAACCCACTGGCAAAGTGCACAGCGCCTGGCTACAGAGGATGACAGACCACCATGCCCAGGTCCTGCCTTAGCTTGAGTGACAGGCTCCACGCCGCGGATCAAAAGGTTCGAGCCTGCCGACGACACGTGTGGACATCAGTACGAGCCTTCTGGACACAAGCTGGGATTCCCACATCATAGGATCACAGAGCAGTGGGGCTGGCAGGGACCTCCAGAGGTCACATCTAGTCCAGCCCCCGGCCTGAAGCAGGATCCTCCCTTTCCAAACCATCCTGTACAAACCCATGCTCTAACTCCTCGCCAAACGACGGTCAAACCTGACACAGCACAAGGCGTAACACCCGAACCTGCCGCAGGTAGATCGGGGGACCACGGCAGCCAATGTCCCGCTTCTGTAAAAGGTTGTTAATATATGTGCAAGAGATCCCTGGGACAGGCCTTCACCCCTCTACAGCTACAAAGGCAATCCCTGTCCCCCCCAAAAATCTGACCATGGGGTAAAACTCCTTCCTGACCCCAAATACGATGATCGGTCTGACCCCGAGTGGAGGGGCCAGACCCTCTAGCCAGGGACCTCCAGCTTTGCTCCCAGCCCAGTCACCATCCCCAGCCTTGGCTGCAGCCAGCACCCAGCACCTCTGATGAAGGTTTAATTTTTTTTTTAAAAACCCTGACACATGTAGGAAAAAGGAGGCAGGGGGAGTTGGGAGAGTTTGCTGAATTTTCTCCCAGCCCCATGCAACCCCCAGCAAAGCTCAGACGCGTAGGAAATCCCCCATAGTAGGACATGGGCATCGCTGCCCCTAAATCATCCCTGCCCAACCTCTTCTTGAACCCCGCCACCGGTGGAGAGTCCACAGCTTCCCTGGGCGCCTGTTGCACTGCCTCCCTCTCGTGACAACGAAGAGTGTTTCTGGACATCCCATCTAAACGAGTGATTTCCCTTCACCCCAGCCATGCTTCTGGCCCTAAATAGCGAGCCAGAGGGAGCCGCAGCCCCCCGCGTTGTCAGCATCTGCTCCCGCTCGCGCTGGGATGTGGGGGGCTCAGCCCCGACCTGCGTGCGAGAGCGGCGCAGAATCAGGCCCGTCCTCCCCCTCCTGTTCAGAGGGCTCCGGTGGGGATTTTGCACTAGACTGGCAGCATTAATCCCCGCCGAGCTGCGTGTCTGCCTGTGCCTCTGCACTGAATCACTTCAATTACAGGATTTGCTGGAGGTCGAGTTTGGGAGAGACGACGGTGAGCCCGGCCCTCTGGACGCGGTGACAAAGCCCCAGGGAGGGGCCGAGGCAGCGCAGAGACGGGTATAAAGATGCAGCTGGTTCAGCAAGGAGCCAGATGCCAACAACAGGCGCTTGGAAGGCAGCATCGCTTCCCTCTGCGCCCGCCACGATGCCAGAAGCCTCCCTCCCCGTATACTTCCTCTGTCTCCTCGCCTTGTCCTCAGCCTGCTACATCCAGAACTGCCCTCGAGGAGGGAAGCGAGCCTTCCCGGACACGGAGATCAGACAGGTACGAAGGGGGTGCAGGGGGTGGTGGAGGGGTGTCAAATCCCCCCGGGGCTGGGAGACTGTGTGCACAACCCACTCGACTCTGGGGGGGCTGCGTCCCGCTAGTCCGTGCTTGTGGCTACCGTCCCCGTCCGGAGAGCGAAGGGGACGAGGGCTCCTCTCCGCCAGGACTGCGTGCGGGTCGCTAAGCAGAGAGGCCGGTGGCCGTGTGAGCCTGCAGGGGAGAGTTGCACCTTGCAGGTGAACTCAGAAGCGTGGGTTCAGATGGCTGGCCTGAAGGCCAGGCTGGATTTCCCCTCCCTACAGACCCTAGCTTTCTCTCTTTGTAGGGGCAGACTTCTCTCTTTGCAGAGCTCTCTGCAAACTTTGCAAATACTAATTGCTTTAGTTTCTTTGGGTGGGGGAGAAGCTGTGTTCCAGTTTAGGAAAGGTGCCTTGTAGTCGCACACAAAACCCTGGTCCTGGCTGAAAAGGCTGGGACTTGGCTGCAGCGGGGGGGTGATAAAGTAGCTGCTTTACTGAATAAGGGATCCCGCTCCCTTCATTGCGCCCGCCGATGCGTCCCAGCACCCGAGCCCCTGGCATCCTTCCACCGGCTCTTCTGCCTGGTGGCCGTGAACAAAAAAGTGAGCCCTCCTTTTGTGCAGCGCGCACACGGAGCCCGTCTCACAAAGACTCGAAGCCCCAAGCGCTCAGCTGGCACATGCCGCGGTCCCAAGCCAGCTGTGCGAGGGATCGGTCCCCAACCTCCTGCACTTCTACTGCCGGTGCCAAGTGAATGGTTGAAAAACCCTTCAGAGAGACAGGGCTTCTTAGGTAGGTAGGTAGGATAAAATCCTGACACCGCTCAGGTCAAGGGGAGTTTTGCCATTGACTTCAGTGTTGTCAACGGGCTCCTAGCTGAAACGCATTCCTACTTAGCATGGAAAGATCTCATCACGGCAATACCCCCAGTGCTTTTTAGACCCTCCTTGTATGTGGAAGAGGCGATAACCCCATCGCTAGTCATGGTAGTAGGCTGTTATCCTCCCTCCAGCGGGCCAGCGTGCTGTGCTAGGGTCGGCTGCCCCGATACTCTTCGTTGTTTGTGGACTGTTCACTTCTCTCCACATAACCCAGTCGGTGGCCATATGTAACCCCTTCCACCCCCACACACAGAGTCGGGGGTCTACGGCCGGTGCAGCCCCCGGGCTCTTTAGCGCTCAGCCTCCCCGCCCCACCGATCCCCCCGGCTTCTTGCTGCTCTTCGCCGAACGGCGTCCAAGCAGCTGCCGTATCTCGACGAACCGGGTGCCTGGAAGTCAGCACCCAGCTCCGCACCTGGGCCCAGCAGGTCTGTGGGTGGACGGTGCCGTTCTTCCCTACTCCAGAAATGAATGGAAAATTTTACCAAGAAAATCTCCCGGACCAGAAACGCGGGAGAAGCACTGTGTAGTCCTGCCAGCCATGGTCCATCCTCTTGGCACAAGGCCCCGATACCCGGCAGCGCCTTGGCGCGCGGATTGAATTGTGGGAGACACGAAAAGCAAAGCGGGGCCATGTCTAGCTCCTGCTCTTCAAGCAGCAGCTGTGAGGACTTGCTCATCAAAAGCGCTGGGGGCCGTATAGCATCCAGACCCCTGCCCCAACTCCTAGGGGAAAGACGGCACACAAGCTAGAGATTTGATGCAAAGAAAGGGAATCTGCTGCTGGGTCCACCTTCTTCTGAGCATGGGACGATCTGCCCCCATCATGTGAGCTGCCACTTTCTTGGT